TTTATCTCATATCCTGCTCTGCAAAAAATACCAGTTTAACGACATGAGGAGCTCACCCTATTAGCCAAAAGACAATAGAAAGGCAGAAGAATCTTTGATGGCAAGCAGATCACGGGGAAGTTGGGCAAATCTGGGCTAAACGAGGACTCTTCTCAAATACAAAACACATCAGAAAAAGGACATTAGCTTAAAAGGGGTTTTAATATAGTTAGGAATAAGTTACTGAATTTTATTATATCTTTTAAGGGGATACATCTTTGGCTAATTAGGGCATATATATGACATCGCTTCAATATTTACTCCCTTTTGCGCCTATGTTAGACAACTTAGAAGTTTTCAATCGACTCGAAACTCGGGGATTTAATAGTACACTTATCAATTAATGTACTAAAAAAGTTTTTAAAAAAATTATCGACAAATTTTGTTTTAATCACTATTTTCGTGAAATTAGCCTTAGAAGTTACAAAAAGAGCTCAGCATTGCGTTTTACCCTGATTCATACTTTTTCATTTGTTTCGAAATCGCGCAAGTGTCCTTGCGTTTAGCGGGTCATTTAAAGAACGAATGAGTGCTAAAACCTTTTCGGAAACATCCAAAAAGTGGCAAATTTGTCTGCATTAAGTCCAGTGTTCACTGCATGCATAATTTATACCTTTTTTATAGAAATTCTAACATATCTCGAAACTCCTCTTATAGATTTTTGTGAAACTTCGCACAGCAGAAGACATTAATTAGAAGAATACGCAGCGTAAAGCATTTCAAAATAAAATTCCGAACAGGGCTGAAATTTGATTTAGAGCTAAATGTAATCCATATGTCATAATCGTTTTACAATACAGATCGATTTGTTTAAGCATAAGAGATTCAAAGATGGAGGGAGTGCCTATAAAACCACTGGGTCTAGCCACCTTAACCTAGGTTGATTCCTAATCACCCTTGTCTCCGATCCTAGCCCTAGGAGACAGGGGAAATTGAGAAACAATCTAGTTAAAAAAATTAACCTGAAAGAATATTTGACCGGTAACATCAATATACTTTGAAATCGGTGAATGCCTTTAATTTATATTGTTCTGTCAGTAAATTGTAGGTGAGCAGCACACAGCTACGAAATCCTGTTAACTGTTCAGTGTTTTTTTTTTCTGGACACAGTCCCCAAAGACGTCCCTAACCTGTCTAGCCTGGCTGTGCACCGCAAACTAGTAATGTGTACGTATGGAGGCTGGGGACCCGAGTAAATTTCTCCCAGCTAGAATAACATAAAAGCATTCGGGGCCTGATTTTTTCTGAGATTAAAAATATTTCACAATGCAAACTGGCAGTTCCGCTATACCATTTCACGATCATTCTGATTTTTAGCTTTTTTACTTCATTTACTCTGCCTTTTATTTGATGTCTTGAGAAAACAACCGATGACTTTATTAAACTAGAAGATACTTTTATGGTTATGGTGATAAAAAAGCATCGGTTGCTGTAAATCAAAGTGAATCCTAATCATTTAAAATGAATGACAGAAACTAGTCCCTGTCTTTCAAGTGATAAGATACAAATTTTGATAGCTGTTTGCACTTAATTCCACAAAAATATATCAGAACACATATTAAATGCATAAATTAGTTATAGAAAAAACTTTACATATCATATTTTTCGAGATATTGAAATTCCTGTTTTTGTCCGAATTTGCGCACAGGTCATTTTGCGTAAAATTTAGTTGCCTTATAAGGAACTTAGAACCCTCGAAAAATCATAAATTCTTCACTAAGTTCCGAACATTCGACGAACAGATTTATGTTTGGTTTCTTTTTAAATCTTAGGAAGTCTACTTTTCAAGAAAAGAAAAAAAGATTTGTGGTGCGCCTATGAAACCTTCCGAATTATTTTGCTTCAAAGACAATAAATTTTGCGCGTTATTATTTTTTGTTAACGGAATAATCAGGCAATGTATTTGGGTAAAATATTTTGAACTCACTTCGATTGCATAACCGAAAATTACCTTGAAAGTGGCGAGCTAAACTTTTCAACTGCATAAAGAATTTGAAATACTGACTTTACATAGCATGTTTTTCTCATATTCTCTGTTCTGCATTACGTTACACTACCTTATGTTACATCAAGAGCCATAATGGGACATTATGGCTCTTGGTTACATCGCTTCGAGATTCATCAGGCTGCCTTGGAACTTTCGCCCACCGGTTTTATTGTGCTGCCGCCTCGCCGCTTCTTCGCGAGGTTGCTCTTTGGCATTGAATGATTCGTTGTAGAAAGGTTGATCATATTTAACATTTTAAACAGATTCACCCAAAGCAAACAGTTCAAATAAGCAGACTGCTGACCTTGAGATGATTTTATTGAATAGAAAATCTTGATATCAGAACCTTTAGCCAGAGCACAAGTCTTAGCCTGCGCTGACAAAAAGGATAACGGGCTCCTTTATGGGATCCTTGACGCAATTTAAAAAACGAATCGAATTGAGGCCTCGATTTAAAAAGTGAATTGATGTCTTCAGATCATTTCTCTTGTTGTTCCTGGCTACTTTGAAATATAAAGTAGTAAAGTATACCCTCATACGTTTCTAGACAGGAGCAACCTTCGTTTTTAATATAGGGTCTAATACTTAAAATAAGACTGGCTTCTCAAACTATCTCCTTTTCTGCACGTTATCATTCAGGTTTCTCTTGATACGCTAGTCACTTTTTCAAGCAGCTTCAAGAAATCAAATTTCTTTTCAAAGAAACACTATCACATATGTATCAAGCTCTTCTTGTCAAGGAAATTAGTATTTACTCGTGCTTCTTTCCGGTATGTTCAGTCACGACAAAGAAAAGCCAAGGAAGAAAAAAAAGAAAAAAACATTTCAATGATAAAATTTGTACAGTGAAAGCTCCGATTATGAAATAATTAACCGCGAAGTAAAAAAGAAATGTGCAATTCAAGGTTTTTGCAGAGTTGTTTAAAAATCTAAAACGACAGCTGCTAAGATTCACTTTTTTTACTTATAATGTCAATCGCAAAAAATAAGCCGAAATGACAGGCTAGGATCTTAAAACCAAATTAAAATGTGATCAAGAATGACTTTTAAAGACTCTTTAAGAACTGATTTGGCGCCGTAAAAAATCAGAGAACGGAAACACCAAGGTGTGATCTGTTATTAGGTTTTCTTTTCCGGGTTTATAACTTTAGAGCGGATAGAATTGGCCATTGAAGAGGTAGATTAGCCAAAAGTAGACTTAATTACGCTTTGTTTTTTACCACAAAATATATTTAAAGAGCAAGTTAATTGACAAAACCTGTCTTTTAATTCCGGTATAAACTGCCGAAGGAACTTTCATTTATGTTTTCAGTGCCTTTAAAATCGGCTTTATTGGAGGTAATTATATCTACTTACGATGAAAAACAGCGGCCGGAACTTTAACAATGTTAAAGCGTTCAGGTAATTAAAATAAGCTCTTTTTAGACCAGCCGAAATTTTTTGTTACTGACTCTGTCAACGTTTTTTTAAATTCTGGCTCAACGTTAACGTTTTACGAGGACTCAATATCTCGCAAACTGCATAGTTTAAATGCAATTTAAAATATTCTAATTTAGATAGTACCTCCGCAAAGTTACTTTCATAAATCTGTTCTAGAGAAACAGAGCTTTCGCAAATTTTGACAAGAAAATGGAAACATCCGGGACTTGTGCTTCACGAGCGATCACTTTAGAGGGACTCTAAACGGACGCTAGGACACAAAATTCAATTAACAAGCGGACGTCACGTAAACAAACCATAAACTGAATACAAACAACTTTTGTGGCCTATAGAAACACCTGCTATCCTTGATATGAAGGACTGGAACTTCACCCCATTCGATAAACATTAATATTTTTACATCGATAAGCTTGGCATGACAATTAACATATGTGTCGGCCGTTTCTGAGATTTCCGTCACAAAAACACAAAATGCATATGTACTTGCAAATTGGTCGATTGGAGCACAGAAGGTAAATGATTTTCATGTTATACTATAAATGTTTAGGTGCTTGTCGTTCTCAATAGGTGTCATTTGGTACGGTAGTTATATTTGGATGTTAGGTTGACTGTTCACTCGGCCAAACTCATATCCACAGAAACACTCTATTTTCCAGACAACAGCAATGTATTCGACACTATTTTGAAGAGACTGCAAAACGAAAAAGGTTAGTGATTAGAGGGCAAAGCCGATAGCCAAAGATTTGTTTAATGAGCGATTGTTGATGACAGTTAGTTGGCGAAGTTATTTTTGTTTGAGGAATTTCAATCTGTATGTAGTTAGTCTGGTAGCCATGTCTCCCCCTTTTTCTCTTCTGTGGTTTCACGCACCGCGATACTTGTATGTGGCGACGAAAGCTTTCTTTAGCTTTATGTTATTATTTTGTACCCGTCAAAGCCACGAAATGGTAAAATGATTTCAATGACCGCAGAAATTAAAATAAGGTATTGACAAACCGTGTGATTTTAACATGAATTCTCGATCGGACATTGAGGTTATCGATGTCAGCTATTGATAGATAAAGTCAGCCCTTTTCTCTTAGAACAAATATATAGATACTGGCTTGATACCACTCATAAATACCTTTGTTTTTTGATAGATGATTTCCTATTGGTAGAATCCATGAAATCAACTCTTAAAAGAGGAATTCCAGTCGTTTGATAGAGCTTATTATTGCGGCCTCGTTTGGCTGGGTGATCCATCGGCAAGACAGCCAACAACGTGAAACTAAAACATCTGGACGGATAACTTTCTGTATTAACTGCTAAGCCGACGAAGGAAGAAAAAAATCTTAAAGCTTAATGTATGTGCTTGCCACAAGCTGGCTGACATCTCAAAGGGACGCAAGCCTCTGGTGAAGCATAGATTATTTGGTCGCCTCTCCTGAAGAGATCCCCACCAAGACACATCTTTCACTGGCTAATTGAAAATTTCGCTGGCATTGAAACACTTTGTGGGAGACGCAAGCTAAACGAATTTATTATCCGCAGAAACATGGCTAATAATACTGAATCATCATCAGCACCGCTCAGCCAACACATCCCTTTAGGAATCCTTGGCGTATTAATTACGCTGGAAAATCTTCTCGTTTGTTTTCTGGTCTACCGCTTCCGTAAATTAAGGACTTTCACAAACGGATTCGTGGTTTCCTTGGCTCTATCAGATGTTCTATTCGGCGCGGTGCTTATTCCGGTAAATATAAGTGATGAACGCAATCCTGTCAATGGGTACTTGATTTCGTTTATTCTCTTCGCAAACGTTACCAATTTATTTGCAGTGACTCTGGACCGTTACTTGGCAGTAATGAATTCCTTGCGATATTCGTACACTATGACTAAACATTTTGTCAAAATATTGCTAACAGCTTGGATACTACCAGTTCCATTGTGTTTGCTGCCATTGTTGTGGGAAGGAGGAAGCACTGCGCATACGGCCTATATGTTTTTCATTGTAATTGGCGTTATAGTTCCGTATATTTTCATCCTGTTCGCCTATATCAAGATTTTCCGCGAGGTTGCACGCCAAGTAGAGAGCCTTGCCAAGCTTGCAAAATATGAAAACTCGGAAGAGACCGCCAGGGAGGGAAAACGCGTTTCCAGCGAGGCTCGCGTGGCACGAGTTTTTGCAATTATCGCTGGAATTTTCGTTATTAGTTGGATGCCTGTGTTCTATATGACGGCGGCTGACGCTCTGCAAAAAGAAGAGCTGATCCCGCAAGAACTCTCCTTGGTTGGTTGGTACACCATGACCGCTGGCTCGCTAGCAAACGCCGCAGTGTATGCGTTTTTCAAGGGTGATTTCCGAATGGCCTTCCTGCGACTATTTCACTGCCGAACGGAAACCTTCCGATGGCATTTCTCCGGCGACGAAGCGATGTCTGTATATAGGTATGGCTCCTCTGTGAACTAAGCGTTGATACCTTACTATGCTCAAAGACAGAAAAGCCCGAGATTTCTGCTTGCACGCGCACGTGCTAATTTTGTGTGGCTGAAAAGAGCGTTCTTAGTAATTGTTCATTTGATCGTTTTTTTTTATTGTATCATTATTCAACCAGGAAAAACCTTTCGAAAAAAAACTTTGTTTTCCTCTCAGAATCTAAGACATTCACATCTCTTGGCGATTTATTTAATTTAAAAAGGTAAAAAATAATATCTCTATATTATTTCCTTTAGCAGTGAGACTTCTTTGGTTATCATTTTTGTTTTCCTATTTTCAATTTATTTTCGAATTTCTAGTTGGAGGTAATCCTAGTTCCTTCGTTTAAAATTTCCTTTTATTGGGTATAATGCCCATTAAATCAATACAGATTCTATGATAGCTTTTAGTTTTTTTAACGACTATTTAAGAGACGATGATAAATAGACTGTCAATTTAGCAAATCTTCACTGGAATATTAAAATCCTATATGTCAACCCTGTGTAGCCCTCAAAAAGGCCGCCTTTTGGAAAGTGTGTTGCTTTAATGTAAAAATAAATATACCAAGTTCATGAAATGTGTTAAAGAGAAGAATTGAGAGGCGGCAATGTGTACATTGCCTTTACAGCAAAAGCCTGTTATTTACTTTCTTGGTTTAATGAGATGATTGAAAACTTATGGTCTCTTGCTTGTGTATTGTGTTATTTGCAAGTTGATCAAGAAAGCCTAATGCTTTCATGCAATAGCCTCAAAAACGCTCATGATAACTTCCGTGCATGCAAATGTTCACATGATCAACAAAGGAAAAAATCGTCATTTAAAGATCCATCTTAACGTTCAAATAAACAATGTGGCAGATCTTCCTTAATCGCATTCATCTCCAGTGAAGCTATAATACTAACACTGGACAACAAAGGGACGACCTAAAATTCACAAATTTGCATTGATCCTATTCTGACTGAACTTTTAAAACATAACATAATTATTTGTTCTAAAATAACATACGATTTATTAATCTGCATTTTTCCAAAAACGTTTTTTGACACCATTTGAACGGAGAAAAAAATTTTGATTTTGATTTTTTTTTTGACTTTCAAAAACAATTCAGTTACGAAAAAATGTTGATGTGGCGAAACATCAATTATATTTAAAAATGAACGTCTGAGGTTTGGACAATCATTCTCTATCAACACTTTCTTTCCAATGTTTTTGGACTCGCTTTTGTATCGTATTCACGTGGCTTTTGATGATAAAGTTCATTTTGAATCATATCTATTGTAAGAGCTTTGCAACTTGAAATTGAATCAATTTTCGTTCTCGGTATTAAAAGCTGTCAAGCTGACAGGAGATTTTGTCAAAAGTAACCAAGAAATGTTTAATTTTTCTAAGAACAATCAACATTTTTTTTCATTTTCAAGTGCACATGTTTTTGCTCTAGCACTTAGTTATTTTGGTTTTACCCAAATGAAAATTAGTACCCACAATTTTTTATCGATTCACGAAACAGAAGGATGCGGAAATGAAGAAGCAACATATAACAATAAACCGGAATGGCCCCTGCCTTTTTCCTCAACTGTACGAAATTGAAAGGTTCTTAGCTTAAGTTTATATCAGATTCTGCGACAGCTAGTAAAACCCCAGTTGTCTGGCAGAAATAAGCTTTATTCCGGTGTTCAATTCATTCAGTTTTAAAATCTCCTTCAGGCTGCACTTTTTAGTGTTCCGTTTCACTGGTCAACGCGAACTCCTAGAACATGCTAGATGTTTGAATGAGCCGATATTCCATTAGTACTTTGCTTAGTACAACAACCGGAATATATTTTGAAGTATAAATAAAGTGAAAAATACATTATACTAAGTCTCCGTTATATATTACTTGAATAAGTTTGAAAAGTTTTTTTTTCTTAAAATGCTCTGAAATTTTGAGATTTTGCTCCTTGTTTTTGTTCATTCATTGAAATCGATGGGCTTTTAATAGTAAATGAATTTTTCTTTTCTGTAAGGTAATTTTGGAGAAAATTTTTAGTAAGTTCACTTACTATCACTTTCGGTTATAACCGAAACCGCAAGCTGGTGTCTGAGAAAAACTAAATTGCACAATAAGTGATAACACTTTCACGGCCTCTGATTAAATAGACCAATGGAAGAAACTTAATCATTTTGTTCAGGGTCTCTGTCTAGATAAACTTTGAATAAAAATAATAACTGGCAACCTTTTTTAAACGCTTCTTCATTGAGTGTGTGTGATGATTTTAGATGTTTCGGTTGCTCGCGTGCATAGACCTTAATTTTTATCTACTTCTCAACGGCTTAATTCATTTCGTTTTATAGAAAAAAGGAGAGACAAAAAAAAAAAAAGATATAAGAAATGTTTCATTATTCAAAAACGAGATAAAAAGGCTTTCAAATGTAAACAACCTCATGAATAAATATAGTCTAGATAATTTTTCACCTGTTGTCGAACTAGTCTGGTGTTTTAGCTACTGGTAGTTTACAAAGTCCAACATCGCCGCCGCGCCTGACATTGATGAAATGGAGATCTACACTGTTAAAAAAAGATGTCGCCCTGCGCCTTTGCCCAACATGACTCCAGTTTTTTCAAAAAATAAAATAAAGTAAAATAAATAAATCCTTCAGACAATTTTTTCTCTTCTCTTCATACTGAAAAATTTAAAAAAGGCTATATTTCAAACTTTAATGGCGAAAATACGTTGTCAAAGCAAGCAGAAAGATGGTACGGAGGTTTGGTACAACGCGTCCTGCTACACTGATGAGATCAATGGACACTAAACCCTATCGCATTTGGCTTAGGGAGTTGTTCAACGGTGAAAACAGCTTTACTGCTGTGATTATTTGATAACGGCTTTGTTAAGGTGGGTGATTCGGTTTGGGCAAAGTTTTTGCCTTAGCTTTCCACTCTGATCTATTTCCCTCAGTGGTTTGGTGTATTACGCCAAGACAATTAGAGGTTCAATAGTTGACTCGTAGGCTGCGCCACTGCCTTCCCTTCATTTAATACATAAAAAATCCTCAAATATTTTATACAAACCAAATGTTAATTGATAATAATAAAAACATCCACAGTTTTATTAATAAGTGAATATTATTTAGAGAGTACTGTGTACTGCGCAAAATTCAAATCAGCATATAGGAGAGTTCTTCTACAATTAACTACCTTCAAAACTTAGAAGTTCCTTTACTAGTACTAGAATTTCATTCTTTTGCATCTTCAAAAAAAGAAACATCTTTACGTCATTACTGGTTTTTTAGCTTAATTTTTTCTAAGTCATAAATGGAAGCCATAACAAAATATGAAATCATGCAAATTCAACAAATGAAAGGAATTAGCCAAAACATCTATTAGATAAAAGCCAGAAATTACTGATTAATTCCTAAAAAAATCAAGTAGATAACAATCTTGTGTCACTATAACAATAAATGTGTCGTTTTTGATAAAGAAATTTAAGAGATATTTTTTTATTTCTATTTAAACCAAACTATAGATAATCAATCTCGTACGATAAGAAGATTTAATTTATCTGGATAGCACCGTTGTTTTTCATATTCAAGTCACGATTCCTCTCCCTAAATCTCTTTTATATATTTTAGTTCATGCATAAAACACAGTAAACACGACACTTACTTCCTCCTTAAAGTGTAGAGAAGTCGACTTAATGAAATGAAACCGCACAAGATCATATCTTAACGGCTAGTCATGAATGCCCTAGAAAGGTTGTCTGCACCGAAACAAAACATAATAAGGGACGGACCATTAGAAAAGTTAAGAGGGGGAGGGGAATTTTCGAGCCTCAGGAATTTTTTTTGGTTATCAAATTCCTTGTATGAATTTTTTTTAGGCCATAGCATGAATATTTTTTAGGATTAACTGGCGTGCATGAATTTTTTTCATCTAATTTTCCCTTGCGCGAATATTTTTCTTGTACTTCGCCCGCCCCTCCCCCTATAACTTTTCTAATGGTCTGTCCCTAATCAAAATGGTTTCTGATCAAAAAGTTTACCACTGTTGATTATTGATTTTAATGACTCAAAAATACTTTAAATACCTTTGTAACTGGTTGGCGTCAGGGAGTCGAAACATTAGTTTGGAGAATAAGTAATTACCGTATCTGAATGATTAAGATCTAAGTTTGGTCTATATGTGTAAATATTGCATTTAGCAATACTCGCGTCGTGTTTATACTTGTGGCAGGTACCTACCTGGGTAAAGTTTTTTAAAGTTTCTTGTGTGTGCATTTAATATTGCTTAGGCTTTGTTTATACGTCGCCCTATCGTCGAATTTAATTCAAATGAATTCAATTCAAAGCCTCCCATGCAATAAAATTCGACGATTCTGCGACTTATAAAATGAATTCAATTCGTCTGAAGAATTAAATTTGTCCAGGACGTTTTATCCGTCTTGCCAAGACGGATAAAACGTCTCTAGCGCGTCTCATTTTAGACGTCGTTAACGACGCAGCAAATGGAATGCATACATTATGTTAAGGTCAAATAAATTGTTATAACGTACCAAATTTGAGCCGGCAGCGTATCGTGGCGCTTTGTGGCGCCGTTTCCTTCAATGCGCATGAGCACAAGTTCGCGCCATTTATGTTCTTGTCCCGTGTGGCTCTCTGGAGCAAAACGTTGCCTTCCAGCTGCATGAAGATGTGTGCAAAAGAGAAATTCAAATTTTGTGTATAAGCCGTGGAAAGAGTGTGTGTGTCCGATTCGAGTGCTTGGCTGCTGGAAGTAACGAAGATACGATTGGATGAGAGGAAAACAACTTAAAGCGTAGGGTATTGACTGAGACTACATCCCACCATCCCGAATTTCTAGACAAACGACGAAAACTACAAAAGCGTACACTTTCATCTTTAACTGACTGCAACAGCAAACAAACTCGGGCAAGAAGCCTTTCCTTATCATCACCAGTGTTAGAATTTGACGTCACTGTTGCCTTCTCCTTTGTTTTTCCCTTGATATTTTAGCCAGCAACAAGGCTTTAGTAAACCTGGCCATGTCTACTCGTGGTTACTTGTCAAAAACACCGAAATCTCTACCTAAGCCGGTAGCATTAAAACTTTCGTCTAAATCGGACAGCACTTAACGTCGAATTGTCGACGAATTTAATGTGAATTAAATTCGACGTATAAACTAGTCCTTAGATGAGAACGATTATGCTTTGAAGAGATATCTTTTGTAATCATGTCTTGGCCAAAATCTCTGCGAGGCTATGGCCCTGTATGGACTCTGACCACTTAGGGTTTTTCACTCTTAAGTAAACAACGTTCACTGACTGTCCGTGGGTGGTTTTCTTCTGAATTCTGATTCGTCGACCGAATAGAGCGGGGGCTTTCAGTCAGACACAAACCGTAAATAGCGCGGGAAAACGGTAAGGAGTTTGACTCTGATTAGTGCAGAGAGTATCAACGGTGAGTAAATCATAATCAGTTCAATAAAGAGTTCGTACGACCTGAGGAGAAACCACATCAATAAATTCTTTTGTCTGTCAGAGAGGATAGCTATATTACAGGAGGTTTTTAGCGGTTAAAACGCATAAGAAAAGTCAAGTTTGGTCCGTCAGTGAATTCAATTCTGATTTAAAACTAAAAGACGTTAGGAAGCCATCAGAAAAAAAGCAGAATCAGAAAAGCGATCCATGTTTTGCAAATACCCAGAAAACTTTCATTGTTTGGTTCTTTACTGCGCTAAAAGATTATATGTAAAAATATGAGAGAAGGTTCCTCCTCTTAAATAAACTTTGCAGACTAAAAGCAGACTAAAGCAAAGACAAAAAGACTGATGGTGCGTGCAAATGCTCATAAAACGTAAACTGCAGCTTATTAGCCCCCAATTAAAAGCCCCGCATTAGTTATTGGCCCATCTACTTGTAAGCAAAAAAGTGCATCCGATTATAAGCCCCCCCCGGAAAAAACCCTCGTCTGGCTGCAATTATAAGCCGAAATACGCCCCTCGCTGAATCCGATATATTATGACGTTTTGAAGCTTAATTAAAAATCAGTAAATGCAGAGCATACTTTATTCAGCGATGCTATATCTTGTTTCGAAGCGCTTTTTCTATTCCGGCTATAAGTCCCGCGGATATAAGCCCTCCAAACTGTTCAGATCCTGACTGTAATCACTTACGTTGTGTCGCCTAAGGTTTTCCGCACAAAGAAGCAATTAATAGGTTAGTGTGCTGAACTTGGCTCTTGATATCAGCTTTTGTAAAAACTGAACGTGCATAGCGCATATTAGGCAGCTTAATATAAACCATTCGGTTTTGTTTGTTTGTATCAATAAATGGACTTTACTTGGAATAAAAGTTCGTAAGACCTCTCTGCTCTGACAAGCACCCAATTACAACGCTAATAGAAAAATAAAAGTACATCCATTTTTAATTAACATGGTAAAAGCATTAGGAATAGATTGAGAAAATGATATCGATATTTTATTTTAAAAAGAGATGATAGTGGAGTTTTACCTTTCAGTCTGAAATGTCAAGTTCGTCTAGAAAATTACTTATTTCATTTGCAAGGTATAAATTCCTATTTAACACTCAGACATTCATTATCTATTTTTTAAAGAGAAACGTTTGATATGAAAGTTGTGCGACTTCTGTTACTGAACTGAACAGTGTTGTCCGTGTTATATCAAACGCCCTTACAAATTCCACTCAGTGACAGACATGAAATCTTTATTTCTGTCTTACAAGTAATATATCAAGCATGGGTCGTAGTGTTTAATCACCAGATGAAACCAACTGAGAAGAGAGTTGAAAATACGACGCGCAACGGAGTATTTTTGACGAAGTTGAGTTGTCAGTTTCATCTGGTGATGAAACACTGCGTCGAATGTTAAAAATGAGCATTTTTACAACTTATTTTCAGAAACTCATTAAACATGAATTTCCTTTGCATATTCTTTATGAATTATTCATGAATTTAAGAAGATTTAGATATCTCGGATACAGAGTTCTTGAGAAAACATGATAAAAGCACCATATACGCAAGTAGTTAAGTGCCACTTCGAAGAAAGGTATTTCTGCTATTACAAACTTCCATGATAGTATATTTTTCAATCGGTAATTGATATTGTATAGACCAATGCGGCTAACTCAATGTTGTACCCAATTCAAACCCTTTGGGGTTAAAACGTTTTGTTTCAGGAATTTCCATATCATTTAAATGTGAATGCCACATTATAATGCAAATACAATACACAAAGAATCTTAACCCCAGGAGATTTGAATTGGGTACAACACTGAGTTAGCCGAATAGGTCTATTAGCTACCACTGACTGATAAAACATTTCTCAATTCTAACGTAAGGCTTAGAAGATAGAACCCTCTATTAAAACGATCATTTACGGATAGAGAAGCTTTTTTTTCACTGAAACACAAACTGCTGAACCGTGGATATTGCACACTCAGATGGGATGGGCACCCAGTTCGTTACAATGCATGTAATAAGAAGTAAAAGCAAATGATATTTGGATGTTTTTAACTTAAATCGTCATCCAAGTTTCAAAATTGACGGACTGGCATTGTCAAAATGCACCTGCGTGTAAAAACGGCGCACATAAGCGGTATGCTGCCTGTATGTCTTTTCCATTCCTTTACTGGTCTTTGAAACATCTTACACAAAATGTAAGAGCCCCAAATCTGTAATAAGGCATTAATAAGGCATTAGAGCACAAGAGGTATGTGATAACAAACCAATTTAATAATAATAATAATAATAATAATAATAAATAATAATCAACAATTTTATTAAAATATTATAAAAACCTATACACAAAAGAAAAAAACTGCAGTAGGGTAATTATAGTTCCTCGCCATATACATACATGACATTCTGAAACTAAAAGCATAGGAGTTCGTTGAAAAAAATATATATCTAGCCGAATTTTTGAAAACATACCTCAAACGGCCCAGAATATTCGCACCAATCCTCGGTGAGGCCAGTAAGTTGAGTAAGGACAGCATCAACAGATGCACGGTCAGGGTGATCATGCGAGTAAAGGGCAAGTTGAGGGATGTTAATTGGGGTGGTAGGGGACAAATTAGAGATGTATTCATGAGCAGCCTCGGGAGGAATGGCTTGAGAGGCTAGTCTTTGACTGGGATCCAGATCTCGTGGCGTCAAGGTGGTCCTCTCCTGGGTGGGCTGCAGTGTATCCAGGGTTTTTGCATTGGTGAGTGCAGGGGCAGGGGGTATCTGTACAGGGGACCCCTTTGTTAAATTTGAAGCGGAGGTCTCCACTTTTGGGGCCTGGAGATTCGGTAGACTCGGTGAATGGGTACAAATTTGTTATATGACCCAAGCTGCTGCAGGCTTTTGGGACATCAGCAAAAGTGACTAAGTACAGTTGAACTTCCCTTTGATCCCAGTTAATGGAAAGGTTTTAACAGCCCTTTCGGTGAAATTCCGTGTCATACAAATACCATACCATACAGTGGGGAACTTTCGGGCCCCCTCACTGCTGATAAGTGAATAGATCCACCCCCGTGATAGGCAAGAGGAGAGGAGTACAGAGGAGTAAATAGCAAAGGCTTCGAGCCATCGGTCGATCCCAGGGATGGTAAGCCACAGTAAGGCCCTCGCGTAGTGCACTTATAACATGATCGCGCTTAGATAGCACACTGCGCGGAAGCTCAGTTGACGTCATCTAGTGTGACATCAAGGTGTATTTGTAGGTTGCCAGGCAACACGACGTCAATTGTGAGGGATAGCAAATGTTGTGGTGCAGTATCATATTTTGTCAGGAGTGATTTTGTTCATGAAGGGCTAACGCCTTTGTTCATCGTCTGTCAAACAATGTTGAATCGTGACCAATTTTCAGACGTTCCATTCAACAAGTGGCTGTAAATCCTCGCCGGGGAAGATTTACCATCGAAAATTCATTGCAGCGAGGACGGCAGTTCGTTGTTTTGACTGTTTTGGCGGTCCTTTTGGAGATCAAAATATTCTTTTGGCGATAAGTTTCAACGGCAAAAGTGTTTTATAGAGAACATTATTGAAGCAATTTGGACCAGTAGCTTCAAATAAATACATGAACGAAAATCTTGTCATTGCGTGTCTCTTCGCAGAAGATTTTACGGCTTTTGGACCTTCGGACCTTTTGGACCTCCGGGAAGAATCCCGTGTAAAAGTGACGGGGATGCTCGTCGTCTCGCTTAGGAGTGTTAATTGCAGATTTTGGTCTCACTTGGGGTTTGGGACGGAACGTCACTACACTTACTCATTAAGGTATCACTCAGGGTTGTGCATAAAGAAATGTACAAAAAATGCCGTGACTTCTGTCTTAGTATGATCTCCTTTAAGGGTCAGTTTAAGAGCCTGTTTACATGGAGTGGGGGACCCCGGTCTAGTGGGGTTGGGTTCTTCTGTTTTCACGCCCTAGGGGACACAAAACAAAAGAAACCTGCCCCACTAGACCTGGGTCCCCCACTCCATGTAAACAGGGTCTAAGTTTGAGACAGACCCACACTTGTCTCCCTTAGGCGCTAAATTTTAAATTTTCGGACGAGTATCCCCCGGCTTAGTTCGCGGGATATGTTTTTTTGTCGGAAGTGCGTTTCAGTTGGGCATTTACCGTCAAAACGTTGCTCTTCCCTTAAATCTGTGCTATTTTATGTTACACCGAGGCAAACCCACAATGTATCGGTTGTTTCCCAGCCAATGTGACCAACCGATGGATAAAAGACTGGTTGCAGTTCCATATATCGATCGGCATTTGAACTCGAGAGTGAATGTTTTTTCATCAGGCGACCGAAGTACTGTATATAATAATATATAGATTTAGCCAGGGCTAAAAGCGAAGCTCTGGTTAATAATAATTATAAACAGAAAAATTAAATCGTCGCCTGAATCGTTTAATGCTAAACGGGGACGGTAATGGAAATGGCATCAAGATCAATAGATTTAATTAGCAAAAAAGCAAATTTGCCCGTGCAGCACGCTTTTTGTCTTTCTAGGCCGTTATTTTGCACAACTACAATGCTGTTTTGTAGGACTAAGACCCTGTTTACATGGAGTGGGGAACCTCGGTCTAGTGGGGTAGGTTTCTTTTGTTTTGTGTCCTCCACAGCGTGAAAACAAAAGAAACCAACCCCTACTAGACCGGGGACCCCCACTCCATGTAAACAGCTCCTAAATCGTCAAACTTCCGAGTTACACATTTTTTACCCAATATTTTGTCTCCTGTGTTCACGTTCGTTTTTATTTTTCACTGCCCCTCATTTTCACCGTGCTGGCCGCTCCTTGTTGGCCGCTAGCATTTCACCGCCGCTTTGAATTTTCATGTTTTTCTTCCTACAAAATTCGTCTCTTGTGTTTTCAATCACTCGCTCTAGCTCTTTCTCTGTTATCCAAGTGAGTGTAAACATAAATAATAACGTCGAAAAAGACACGACTTTGTTGTTGTTTTTTCTTTCTTAAAGTCCGGGCGGCCATGCGATTTCTTTCTTAATAAAACCACAGGCGGCCCAGGCGTAGTGTGTGTCAATATATTAACATTCACATGGACAAAATGGGAGAAGTCGTCGAAACTCTCATGAACTAAAATAGTCCAAAAGTCAAAATATAACAAAACAAAGCTAAGATACCTTTAACTGAACGTCTCCTTCTTCTTCCTGGCCGGTTAAAGTGGCATTTTGTTGAGTTTTGCAATCGTAGGTACTATCCACTAAAGAATAATTGAAGGCTGGCTACAAAACAAACGGACCATGTCCACGCACCTTCACGCGAAGCGCTATATATTTGAGAATAATAGACGAATCTGCTCCAAATTGCCATCGGCTAATCTGCAGGTAACGTGTGCTCCGGCTTCTTACTCCCTGGCTCCACAAACACATCACAACTGCACAATAATCGCTCGCTAATACACCTATCAATGTAATGCCGGCGGGGGGAGGCAGGGCATAGGGTGGGGATTTGACTTTTTTCAAAAATTTGCAATCAAATTTCCTGCTCACTGGCAAATCATTCCAGTCAAATGCAACCAAATTTCCCCACCCCAGGCTGCACATTGCTGTCAATCCCAAGGCAGAACCTAAGAAAGGCACAATAAAAATATCTCCAAATAAAACTCTGCAATCTTTTATAAACGTTGCTGCATCACGAAAGATACATGTTCCTGTTACAGCTGCAATTATACGTTTTAACCATAATCCGTGTTACAATTCGTAGAATACATAAACCTTTAGGAGAAAGTCCACATTTTGTAAGTCTAAATATACCGTTCTTAGTAAAGGGTACAGAACGTCAGTTTTATAAGTTTACAGTGATTGTAGCGAATGAGCCATTCACTAATTAATTGTACGTGCAAAAATCGACTTGGTTTCTCTTTACTTCCTTTTACTTTGATACCACAGTATTTTAACAGGGTCAATTGAGCAAAAAACGCTAAAACAAACGAAATTTGAAGACAAAACAGTGAAATCCACCCAGCCTTCGCTTGTTCTCATTGGCCTCCATGACTTCCTGATCTTTTCAAACCGTATGGCGCATGCGTGAAGCATGGAATCGGGAAACATATGTTCGGTCTCAGTCTTTTTCGTCCGAGTCGGCAGTCAAATATCTCCACGTCGGGCGAAGAAAGATTCAAATATCCCCCCCCCGGGAGAACAAGATCAGTCAAATGCCCTAACCCAGGGACAACAAAGACAATCAAATCCCCACCCCATGCCCTGCCCCCCCCCCGCCAACAAACAAACACTGTTGACCCGTTTACGCTTCGATATGACCGAAAACCGCCAGGATTAATACGCGACGTGAATATTCAAGCTTAGCGACCGCGTTCACGCGACAATGCATCACTTGCTATGGGAGGGATGGTACTATTGCTTCTAGGTCAATCAATCGGGAAAATGATATTGAAGACCTTGTAAATTTCAAAAAGACTCAATTTGTCCTGGGATCACCGAACAGAACATTTTACTTCCCCTTTTAGGCTATTTTTCGTAGATAAAAAGGAAACCTAAAATTTTCGGATTAAAAAATGTGATGAAAGAAAGAATCTGAAATTAAAAATTAGCACCTTCGCAATACGTTAAATTGCATCTAAACTTCTCGGGAAAATAATTCTGAATTCCTCGTAATTTCAAAAAGACTCAAGTTCCCCTAGATTTGCCGAACGGATACAAATTTTATAGCGCCGCTCATAATGCATTTCTATAGAGCTAAAATTACTATATAAATAGCTAAAAACGTGTATTTGAGGAAACCGTCGTTGGGTGCCCGTGTTTCGTTGCCTTCTCCTCTTAGCATTACACGATTTTATGTTTAGTACTGATGAGCAAACTATAAACAGGGGCACCCAACGAGAATATAGTTCAAAACCACTTAAACATAGCACTGTTAAGCGTATTTTAGTATTTAAACGGTAGATATAGGCATATTTTTGTCCCCTAAAAATTTTTCATCTGTTCGGATTTCCTAGCTGAAAGTCTAGTGATCCGAAAATTATAGGGATCAAAACTTACCTTTTCGAAAATTTCAGCCACAAAAAAGGCTCCCGAAAATTCTAGGTGACCTTTATAGGGTAAAAATCCGTTAAAAATAGGAAATTATACCATTTTTTTTATGTTCGAAAATCCTAGGAGAGGCAGGCAAGCAAGAAATTTTACAACAAATGTTCCGAAAATTCTAGATCTCAAATCGTCTTCCGAACAGATATTCTTCCGAATATTGTCGTTGGGTGCCCCTGTATAAATATTATCGGGAGCTTCGCTTTTAGCCCTCCTGACTAAATCTATGTATTAGCGCCGCTTAGAATGCATTTTAGAAATAGTAAAGTAATCTGGACAGCCTTAGGGGTGTTTTCAATGCATTTAGGGCGAAATCGTCGTTGGGTGCCCCTAAGTTTTGAAAATAATAATAATAAAAAAAATATCGCGCACATAAATATTACTTTACCATATCTTTAGTTGTATCTTCCATTAAGCTGCATAGCTGAGGCCAGATTTTGCCTTTTTCCTAGGCGGAAAATCCTAGTCCTCCCTCACCAGTGTGGACAACATTTTGTGGAGTAAGACGTAGTTCTGGAAAGAACTGTTTATTTGATTAATACAAGCAAATTGGTCCAGTAGAGTCAAGAACCTATGCAAGCAGCTGGTCGAACAATGTGACAGCAGCTGTGACAGCCCACGTTAGAAGAATTAGAACTTGAAAACCAGGAACGCCCTGTTGAAAACTGTTTACGGACGGTCGCGCAATCACCTTTTGTTTTCTGGTCAAAACTAACGCGGCGGACCCTCGCTCAGTGTTGATTGACCTAGAAGCAATAGTACCATCCCTCCCATAGCAAGTGATGCATTGTCGCGCGGACGTGGTCACTAAGCTTGAGTATTCACGTCGCGTATTAATCCTGGCAGTTTTCGGTCATATCGAAGCGTAAGAGGGTCAACAGTGTTTTTTATGACCGAACAATTATTGTGCAGTTGCAATGGGTTTTGTGGAGCCAGCGAGTAAGAAGCCGGAGCACACGTTACCTAGAGATTAGCCGATGGCAATTTGGAGCAGATTCGTCGATTATTCTCGATTTATAGCACAACGCGTGAAGGCGCCTGGACATGGTCCGTTTGTATTGTAGCCAGCCTTTAATTATTCTTTAGTGGATAGTACCTACGATTGCAAAACTCAACAAAATGCCACTTTAACCGGCCAGGAAGAAGAAGGAGACGTTCAGTTAAAGGTATCTTAATTAGCTTTGTTTTGTTATATTTTGACTTTTGGACTATTTTAGTTCATGGGAGTTTCGTCGACTTATCCAATTTTGTCCATGTGAATATTAATATATTGACACACACTACGTGTGGGCCACCTGTGCTGGAAATAGCTTTATGAAGCCATAAGTCATTATGTGTTCAGGTTTTCTTCCAATTGAGGGTCATGTATTAGGCAGTTGTTTGGTCGGCTTCCCCCTTAATACCAATTCCCAGGTCTTGCTCAGATTGAGTTCCATCGTGGTCTTACAGGCGCATTGTTGGAATCAGTTCTAATCTCTTCCAACGCAAGAGAGTTAAGAGCTGTTGAGTTGACCGGAATGCATAGTGTTAAGTCATCTGCATATTAAATGAGCAAAGTTCTTACCCTTTACCACTCATTTTCAACCATCCCTATTAGTTGGCTTTGTTTTGCCGTGAGTTAATTTTGCTGTGCAGTGATTTGATTTTATTTTGCATGCCTTGATTTGATTTGTTTTGCGGTGGCTTAATTTTGTTGTTCCTCGAGTTGATTGTATTGTGCCGTGAGTTCGTCTGTCAACACGTGCTTATAGACATACTAACTGACGGATAATTCGTGTGAGAAGGTTAATCTGTCTCTTAATTTACATCTAGACGGAAACGAAAGTGGGTTTTTTGAGTTCTGACTCGAGGAGACTGGTGCCAATTTTTTCTCTTTAGTCGAAACCTAAGACCCTTCTAAATTCGTCCCACGAATTTGTACTTAGACGAATTAGTCGTCAGGCCTATTATCCGTCTCTAGTATAAATTCGGCCATTGGCCGCATTCACGCTAGAGACCGACTATCCGTCTGAGACAAGAACAGATTCCGTCCCCTCAGAACCTCTCTATGTCCTCCTTTTAGCGAGATTCGAATCTCGGCAATCAGGAAGACGCACCCCCCGACACACCAACTACCCAGTCGCTTCTATTGCCAGCTATTTCTTCAACAGCTGCATCGCTGGGTCAGTTCTTATTTTCTTTGACTCTTATAAGAGGGATACCTAACAGACACTGTAGTTTGCCTTGTGCAACACCACAATTTTTGCCTCTGAAGACAAAAATACAATGCTACTCAGTCTTAATTTAACTTGTAATTAATTCCCATAATTCCCTATCCTATCTTAACGGTTAAATTATTTATTAGCCTATCACGCTGCGAAATTCTCTGTCATAATTGCATTTTATTTCCTTTTTTGTTTATCACATTGTCTTATATGTTCTCCTTTTGCACATTGTTTACTACGTACAGTGCATTGCTTTCACTGCCAATCTGATTTCAAAGAATTTTCCACATCCATCATTAGTGTAGCAATCGAACCCACGAGTTATCCCTATAGTCGTCAGTCACGAAATAAAGATCTTAGGGGGTCAGTTTGATAAAACATTTACAAGTGTATTCATTGTTTTAGAGTTTGAAAACAATAGCTACACTTGTGAATTCCACTTGTAAAAGACTTATCTAACTGACCTCATGATTAAGAGCTCACATGGTCTTTTGGAGTCGGATGAGAAGAGAAACTTCGTTAACGGGAGCGATCGAACGGAAGCGCAAAAAAAGTGGCGAGTTTTCAGTAAAGTAATCACTTTCTACGTGAATTTGGGTTTGCAGAATTGTGAAAAGGTAGGTAATTATCGGAAGAGTCGTCATAATGGCCGAATTTATACTAGAGACGGATTATCCGTCCAGATCGATAAGATTAGCCAGACGACTGATTCTTCCGATCTAGGTACAAATTCGCGGGGCGAATTTAGAAGAGTTTTAGGTTTCGATTAAAGGGAAAACATTGGCACCAGTCTCCTCAAGTCAAAACTCGACAAAACCCACTTTCGTTTCCTTCTAGATGTAAATTAGAGACAGATTAAGGAGGAGAAGATTAAGGAGAATTAGGAGGGATTCCTCCCAAGTTTAAGCATTAACTACGTGACCATGAGTAAAGATATGAGACAAAGGTTAC